CCCCACTGTATGTTGGTCGTTTATGAAACAAACAAACAAACAAACAAACAAACAAACAAACAAACAAACAAACAAACAAACAAACAAACAAGCAAGCAAGCAAGCAAGCAAGCAAGCAAGCAAACAAACAAACAAACAAACAAACAAACAAACAAACAAACAAAACAAAACAAAACATTTGCTTTAGAACAGTTTAGGCACTTTTGCTCGCAGTGCGTTACTCCGGTGGGCTTTAGGACCCATGGCAGCTCCTGGGTAGGTGACGTCACGACACTCAATCTCAGTCAGATGCAGCAGAACAGGACAGACATCGCAAAAATAAATTCTCTAAAATAAGGTGGGTAATGAGGCACATTCATGACTCAGTTATTTACACCAGCGCTATATTTTCCCGGTAAAAAAATAACGTTTCCTGAAATGTGTCTGGAGCTGCTCGTGCAGCCTGAGGATTAGCCTGACCAAGAGAAGAATGTCAACAAGCCGCGGAGGAGCCGCTCAGCTAAAAACCGTTAAGACCTGTGTCTGTCTGCGGTGGGAGCAGGAGCAGCTCCTCTTTCTGTTCCCCTTTAACTCATTTAACATCTTTCTGAGCGGTGTGATTTAAATATTTGACCACAGAGTTTCATCGTTGGCAGTTTTTATTTGTCTTCAGGCAAAGCGGACAACAAGCTGGGRCATGTCTTAATGTGCAGCTGTCAGTCACTCAGCTGTGTGTTCGCTTTTGTTGTTCTTACAGGACTTCTGCTTGTGTTAAGCAGCTGTTTGATTTCATCTCTATAAGGAGAAGCGCTGGAGCCAACCACTGACACCTGCTCACTTTCTGTCGTGTATTTTATTATTATTATTATTATTTTTTGCATAAATACAGTGAATTATTAGTCTGCACTCAGCCGGAGACCTTTGGGAGACAGCTCGGTCCTTCACCCCCTGTCATTCAGTGACTGGAACTGTTCAACCATTACTGCAGCATCTGAAAGGCCTTTCTCTACTGGGAAAGTTTCATTTCACTTTAAACATTCTAGTTAACAAACCCACACAGAGTTTATGGTGAGGGGGTCTAATGTTTTCTACAAAGTCATTAAATCAACCTTATTACTATTTTGTGTAAAAAAAAGTTCTGTCTTTAATAGCACAGCTTCGAAATTATACATGAAAAATATAAGTCAAAAAATGTGTTGTTTAATTCAAAGATTCAGTGTTTATTGTCATACACACAGATGAAACATGTTTCCCTGAGCAATGAAAGACAACCAGACAAGATAGATAGATAGATAGATAGATAGATAGATAGATAGATAGATAGATAGATAGATAGATAGATAGATAGATAGATAGATAGATAGATAAATAGCTAGCACTTAAGGGGTATTAAATAAAGTAATAAGGGGTAAAGGATAAAAAGACCACGCTTGGAAAAAACAAGAGATAATAACATCAAAAAAGGGAACAACACTATCAGTGTTTTAGAGTGTGTGCAAAAGTGTAAATGTGCAACAGATRCAAGTCTGAACTGGGCTCATGTGCAATATTAATAGCCAGAAAATTGTCACATTCAGCTGTTTAGAAGTCTGATGGCACTTGGGAAAAATGGGTCCTTAAATCTGGAGGTTCTGCATTCGACCCTTCTGTACCTCTGGCCTGAGGGCAGATCACGATTGATCACGATTTAATGTGCGCGCACACACGCACGTCTACAGACTTATTTTTCAGTTCCAAAATTTCACTTCAGTGATGGGTGTGAAGGGTCTTTTCAACTTGTAAAACTGCCTACATCATCAAACCACCATCTACAATAAGTCTTTAGTTAAATGAGTTACAACGACACCTAATTTCCCTCTGGGATCAATAAAGTGTTTTTGAATTGAATTGAATTGAATTGGAATTGAACACTGTAGAAACATAAAAATGCTGCAACCATCAGTGTCTTATAATGCTCACGGTTCAAGAATGTTTTAGATCTGTCTTATTTTGTACTGTAACTGTGTGAGGGTTTAAATCTTCAGTCTGTTTCTCTTGTTTGCTGGCAGGGAGTGACAGACCGATGTGAGTTTTCACAACGAGCCACTGGCTGCAGTTTTAACATTGTTTTTTTTTTTTTAACTTTTAGTTCCAGTTATACATCGGGGAAACAAAGCAGCCACTGTTCAAAAGAATGTCCCAACACAGACGAGCTACGTC